TTCAGTGTATAAAAGCTGCTAGTTGATAGCTATTGATCGGACTTGTTGGTAGGGATCGTTGAAATTGCTTATACTTTAATTTTGTTATAATCCGAATAATAATTGAAGATATTTGCTAATGTAGTAATAGCTGGAAGAGGATGGGACTGGAATAGATTAGTCAATAGAACAAGATATTTAACTACGAAGTATTTAACTGAAGAATGAAGTGAAAACTTTGTAAGAAGTGAATTAGGAATAGTTTTTCTATCATTGCAGCTAAGGAACTCTTGTAGACAGGTGGGTAGGTTCACCATTGCAACCATCAGTTTAAGAAAGCTAAAGCGAAGAGAGAAAGGATTAGGAAGCAATTGCTTGGAAGATTAAAGGTGCAAAATAGATGAGATTTAGATTGTTATTTTGTCTTTTCTTTCTTTTTAAAGAGAAAAGATGTTAGTTGATAATGAGCAATTTTTTTCTCATTCTCTTCCATTTGTAATATTAAAGGAGAAAGTAGTCTGAAAAGTAGTGGATCGGAAAGAGGAGAGAGAAGCAAGATAGGTTAAAGTTGATGTTTTTTTTCGGGGAGAAAGAGGAAGGAAAATGATAACTAACAAATTTTAACTTTGGATGATAGCCTATGTTACCTGGGTACTTCTATTGGGAAGCTGTACCCAATACCGGACACGTACCCATACCAGTACCCAAATTTCTTGGACACTTCTTGAATATATGCATATGTTTATTCAAGTCTATACTCAATTATATAGTACATGTCTTAATTTAAAACACTGCTCATACACTTCTTGGATGTATATTCTACAATCACATCTATTTCTCATTTTCTTATATATTGATCTTATGTAAATGAAAAAACAATATTGATCTTATGTAAATTATTAATTTAATATATATAGATATACATAACATGCATATATATAGCACATGTCCCCGTACTCTACCTTTTACAAATTTGCTATGTCCCGTACCCATACGAATACTCGTACCTGTACCCATGCAATCTAGATGATAACTAACAAACTAATTACTAATCGTCTAAGATAGACTCCAGTAAGAAGTTGACGGCAAATTCAAAGGTTTAAAAGGAAGAATTTAAGATTTCAAAGGACACTTTTATGCATTCTGTAAGATGTGATAGACCTGTAGACCTTTAGAGCTCAAACCCCTCAACTACACACCCACCCACACCCCAAAACACATGCTCACCCATACACATGCGCACTTAGTTGATATAATTTTTTTATTTTTGTTTGACCTTCATTAGGAGAGGCCTTTGGTAACTCTATGAGTTCTTCCTGGAAAATAGCCCCTACTTCAACTGAGATAATACATTATTAAGATCTCTTTTTGGCTCTCTGAATCAGCATGTTAGCGATGTTTATATACCTCTCTCTGCTGAAGTTAAAGATCACTTTCAAAATTTAAACCCATGATATTGTTTCACGTTCTGATAGACACTGTCGAATTCCTTAGTCCATCTCATCCCCTTCCTGTTAAGAATTAGAAATACGCTTTATATCCTTTTATAGGCAAACTTGTTTCTAGATAACTCGGATATGTCCAATGTCTCACTTAGCACCATGTTGTAAGTCTTGTGACTGCCAGAGCACATGGAAGTTGATCCATGAGGTATTTCTTGGTCATCTTACCTTTTATTTTCCTCTGAGGAGCTGTTGGAGGTCTCTCTTTCTTTGTTATTCTATGTATAGAAGCAACCAATTGATAGCTATTGATAGGGTTTGTTGGTAGTAATAGTTTTCGTTGCTAATCATTAAATCTTGTTATGATCTTACGTTATAATAATAGAAGATACTTGCTTAAGTTAGATAAATTCACTTTTAATCTTGTTGTAATGATAGAATTCGGTTAAAATTTTATGCTAATTTCTGCTGCATTTCATGTATCTCCTGTACTTCTGATGTACTCGTTTCGTAACGATCAATAATAGCATCATTTCTGTAGTTTCTATTTCTATTTTTATTGATCAGCATTATAGTCTGTCTGGTTTAGCATTCTGGCATTAGGTCTGCTTGCTGGTAAATAGGTGCATTGAATTGGACTTGAATATTGTTAGTGGTGCATTTTATTTCCACATAATTTACCTAGTTTTATCAATTTACCGATTGTATGCCTACCTCTTTATTATTATCGTTTAATGCTAGTTTGATTTGCTTATATGATTGTATATTGTTTTAATATAAGGGAGCTATGCTCCGCTTTTGCCCAGGAGAGAAAAATTGTATGTCGTAATATTGTCATATCAATGAACTAGAAATGGTTCCATGGAAGTCAGCCAATTATCTCTATTATATGATATCAATAAGAAAAAAGAATCTGTGTTATCAAATGATCTCCCGTCATTACTAACAGTATGTAATGAATGAGGGAATCATCTATTTTGCATTCTTTCAAACCAAATAACAATATAATTGCGCCGCTAGTCAAGAATTTTGGTTTTGAGAAGTGTCTGATCATTCAATAACAAGTTTGGTGCTACTTACGTATTGAACTGTCAGCTCCCAAAATTTTCTTCCAGCGTCTTTTGGTTCAGTTTTCCGTGCATGATCCTCGTCTTCAATAAGATTCCAAATATAAAGACCTTTCAAAGTGAACCTTCTTACTTTTTTGAGTTTCGAGTCCGTTCAACTTCTTTGGCTACTTCTTACAAATGACAATCTTGTAATCATCCCCAGGAAATTCTCTTGGAGCGCCCCCGTGTCATATCATCCAGAGTCTCACACGCATGGGACTTACCGGAGAACACATTTGGTGCAGCATATGCAAAGTTTATGGGATCAAGAAACTTCTCCCCAGACGATCGCCCTACAGTTCGGTTCATGGAAACTGAAGAACTAGCCTATGTGGCAATCCGAGCACGTGAGGTCCACGATTTCTGGCACGTGCTCTTTGGCCTTCCCACAAATTTAATAGGTGAATCCTCTCTTAAAGTGATAGAGTTTGAGCAAATGCTTCTTCCAATGTGTTTGTTATCGGTCGTCGGAGGTTCAGCTAGGTTTAACAAGAAGCAGAGGAGCTTGTTCTTTCGGCATTATTTCCCTTGGGCTACACGGGCTGGTATGAGATGCACAGATTTGATATCAGTGTATTATGAGAAGCATTTCGATGAGGATATTGAGGATGTGAGGAGGAAATGGGGGATAATACCTTGCCCTGATCCTAATATGAAAGGCTAACGTTTGTCTTTTTGGCCATGCATTTTTTTCTGCATGCACCACAGGAAGTGTTTTTTCTGCATGCACAACAGAAAGCATATATTCATTTTGAGTTGGAAGTATGAAATGCAAAATGAAACAGTGATGCATTCATGATATGTATACTTCTGTTTCTGTGGATGAAGTTGTTTCGTTTGTAATTGCAAGCAGAATTACTTTGGTTCTGATGTGTCTATAGTTGTATGCTTCATGATGTTCTTGTGTACTGAAGTAATATATGGATCTGTCATCAAGATCAGAACGTCGAAGGTTGTTGTGTCCTCTTTCCTTTGATCAAATAAAAGAAAGCACTAAATCTAGATATTGAAGAACATTGTGCCTTCTCTTTG